TCCAATGACACAGACATGCCATGTTCAACAACTCTGTGAGTACAATATCCAATTACTCTGTGAGTATATCTATTAACCCTCTGAGTACAATGTCTATTAACTCTCCGAATACAATGTCAAACACTCCTTTGATACAGTGTTCATTAAACCTGTCAGTACAATGTCTAATTACCCTGTATTCAGAGGGTTAATGGATATAATCGCAGAGTAATAGAAAACATTCTGAGGGGACTTTACAGAGAAGGCATTTCCATTAGTGGGAGAATCTCGAAATAGGGAGCATAATTACAAAATAAGGGGACACTCATTTAAAACTGAGCTGTAAAGGAATTTCTTCTCCTAGAGTTAGTGAATGTCAGGAATTCTCTACCCCAAAGAATTATGGAGGCTAGATCATTGAAAGTATTTAAAGAGGAAGTAGATAAATTTTTGAAGTATCAAGGAACTGATAGTCATGAGGAGCTAGCACAAAAAAGGGAACTGATACCATGAGGAGATCAACCATGATCTTATTGAACAGTGAAACAGGTTTCAGGGGCCAGAAGGCCTGCTCCTGCTCCTATTTCTTATGTACATCAACAGCATCGAGGACAAAGTCCCTTGTTGTATTGGCACCCCATCCAGCATGCTCAACGTTCACGCATTCCACCATAGGTGCACAGGGGCAGCAGTGTGTGCCATTTACAAAATACATGGCAGCAAATCTGTAAGGCTACTTCTAACGCACTTTCTAAACCCCATGACCTCAACCACCTAAGACAAGGGCAACAGATGCCTGAGAACACCATCACCTCCAAGTCACACACCATCCTGATTTGGAAATATATCACCAGTCATTCAAAATCACTGGGTGAAAATCCTGGAACTCCCTTCCTATCAGCACTGTCCTCATATCCTACACTCCAGCAGTTCAAAGGTTCAGCTCACCCACACCTTCTCAATGGCAATTAGGGTTAGGCAATAAATGCTGGCCTGGCCAGTGATGTCCACATCCCATGAACAATTTTTTAAGAATTGTCCAATAACTCTGAGAAGGCTTTTCAATAATACTGTGTCTGCAATGTTCAATAAACCTGTGAGAAGGATAACTTGTCAGCAGTGTCAATAATCCAGTGAATGTAATATTCAAAATGTCCAATAATCCTATAAGTACAATACACAGTAGCCTTAGAAATATAACTTCCAACCATCTGGTGAATTAAATATGCAATAATACTCTGAGCACTGCACCCAAGTAGCCTGTGTGTTTGATGTCCAATTGCCCTTTGAATACCGTGTCCTGTAACTCACAAATCATAGCAACGCAGCACATTAATAAAACTTCCCAAACTGTTTCACAGGTTCGTAAAAAGCAAAAATAGACATTGAGCTAAATAAGACAGAATTTGGAATTGTGACTAAATCTTGTGTCAAAAATGTAGGTTTTAAAGTGCATCTTAAAGGCTGAAAGAATGCTAGTGAGGCTGAGACATTTAAGAAGGCAATTGCAGAGTAGAAGGTCTAAGCAATTGAAGACATAGCCTGCAATGGCAAACCAATTAAAATCGGGGATGTGCGACAGGCCAAAGGTACTTAGAGTTGTGTGCCTATAGAAGATTGAAGAGATGTGGGGGTTGGTGCTGCCACGAAAGAATTTATAGACAAGGAAGAGAATTTTTAAATTAAGGTATGGGTTGAGCAGAAGGTACTGTAGGCTAGTGAGCAGAGAGCTAATGAGTGAATGGGATTTGATGACGTGAAGGCATGGACAGCACTGTTTTAGATGACTTCAAGTCTGCAGAGAATAGAATGTGGTAGGTCAGCCAGCAATGGGTTGGAATAATTAAGTTTAGAAGTAGCAAAGCCATGAACAGGGGTTTCAGCTGTAGTTAAGTGGAGGCAAGGGTGATGCTGGACAATGTCACAGAGATGGGAATGCACATTCTGCACAATCATAGTGATAGTAAGATTCTGTAGTCAGATACCGATCTTGGGTGTGACACTACAATTGCAAACTGTTTTTATTCGCAGATAGTTGCCATCTTGATGGACTGAGTCGGTTGCTAAAGACAGGGGTTTGGAGCAGAGTTCAAAGACAATGGCTTCAGGTTTCTGAAGATTTAACTGTATTTAGGTATTGGTTGTTGATATAATGTTGTGAGTGCAACTTGCAATAATGTTTAATGCAATGTTTATTAACCCTGTGAGTACAATGTCCATTAATCCTATGAATACGGCATCTATTAACCCTGTGTGTACAATATTAATGACCCTATGAGCACAATGACCAATAACCGTTGAGGTTGGTTGGTTCGTTGAGCTCAGCGAACCAACCAACCTCAACACCCACAACCCGACCTATAAATCTATTCCAAAACCTTAGAGACCAATAACCGTGTAAGTACAGTACCCAGTAAACAATTCACCAATTCATTCTCAGCCAAGAGGGATCTCTTCTCATTGCAGCCAGAAAGTGTTCTCATTCGTTAGTAAGTGTAATAACGATATTGCTCACAATCTGTTCAGAGATAAAAACCATCAGAACTCGATTGGAGTCAATTGTGCATAAACTGTTATCTCCACAGCTGGGACCAACTCATAAGGTAAATTCTCCGACTTGGATCAGAATAAAAATGAAAACAGTAGGAGTTAGCAGTGTTGTTATTATGTAGGCTCTCTATAATGTCCCAGGATATTTAAACTCACCGCAGATATCCTCAGAATCCAATGAACAATCTCAGTATGCACTAGATGTCAGATGTTCCCAGCACATTGTGTTGTCAGGTTAATCACCACTTGGGAAAATGAGGATTTATCATCTGAAGCCACTCAAGAGGGGGTCTCTTCACTACATCAGGAAAATTGCGCTTTGTACTAAATGTACCAATTTGCTGCATTTGGGAATATCAGGCAGCCTGATGCCACCCGCCTTCAATTATGCTATTTAGCATTGAGACTTCTAACATGGAACTTTTATGGTGTAGTGAAAGTGTTTTTACCCCTGGGCTAGATAGGCCTGGGTTCAAGTCCCACCTTCTTTAGAGGTATATATTAGCATTTCTGAAGAGGTTGATTAGGAAAATATCTTGAGCCTTGTATTATTGAAATGGAAAACTCAGACTTAAATCTATGTTCCAGTAAGTTATGAAAACAAACCGATTTAGAATGTCATTCTTGATGAAGTTCAAAATATTGTCAGTAACATTTTTCAAACTTCCTTGATAGTCTGTGGCAGATCATTCAGTGACCAAGTGATCACAATGCAACCTTTCGTTTACACATGCCTGAGAATTATATTTTGCATCTCCTCTGTCAAATGTCAGTGCTGCATGGTTTAAGCTTGTATACATATATTTATTGTCTGTACTGAATGCATGCATTCATTTGTATGTGTAGTTTCTGTGAGGATCTGTGTAGGCATTTGTGTGCATTTTCACTTCTCTTATTTTCTATGTATGTATGTTGCATTGTGTTTGTGTACGTGTGTGTCTGTTAGTACCTTGATGATGTACAATAAGGGAATCCGCAGTTCTGTTCACGGCTGTCAGTGAAACAGAAATTGTGTGAGTTGATACTGGAGGGGAGTGAGATTCTAGGCTAAATCCAGTGGATGGTGCATGGAAATAATTGCGAATATGGAGAGAGGTTGAGCTGCTTGGTGCATAGCTAAGTGACCCAGACTATTGTATTCAGTGAATGACTGATCTACAATCAAGCATAAGAACAATACAGCTGAAATAATAGAGACAAATATTTGAGAGGGAAGAAGATTCAAAATAAATAAAGATAAAATGATTTTTTAAAAAAGGACCATTATAATTCGAGTGAGCTGGAGTAGAATAGCTCCAGATTGTTTGATCCTATTGGTTGTCAGATAGCTGACAAGAGAGATTTAATAAAAAACATCTACTAAACTCAGATCTCAATTTCACCCAGTACAGACTGGAGCTTGGGTAAGAGTCAGGTACAAATATCTCCCTTCTTCAATCTCACATGTCTCAATTCATATCCCAAGCTGGGAAGACTGAGATCCATACTATCTCCATTCATAACACGGTGTGCCATACACATGAACCCTGACCATCTAATATTGTTTTAACAGTGAAAATGACAGCAAGCAAACTGGCTCAGTGGTGAACCCAGGAGTTGCATGCTGCTGTTTGCAAATTGTTCCCAGCGGAGCTAACACAAACTCGGTCTTTGAAATCGTCAGCAGTTCTGTCCTTCCTGACTGCCACTATCCACACTTGTACAAAACTCTTAACATTGGGAACCTTTATCTTAAACGATTTCTAAATTAGAAAAAAACCCAGAGTTGCTGTCTCTGCGGAAAGGGAGATATACTGCAACAGTGCCGTGGATGCTGGTTGCTTGGAATACCCCAAGAATATCAACACCATATGCAAGAGCACCGAATGATGTTCAAATAAGCTGCGGGTGTTACACAGCTCCAAGTGTGTAACAGAGACCAGTAGTTGCACAACCCTGGGTGTGTTAAACCCTGTATCAGAACGATCAGATCTCTTGCACGCTCTCACGCTGACTCCATTTCAGGGTGAACAGACAACATTGGAAACCTAGAAACTGGAAACTGCAGTGGCATTTTACCCTGAGTATCCAAACTGCAAAATGAAACAAGCTCAACTCCCCAACACCAACTTCAATAAATATTGTGCAGCAATTTCTTAAAAGCAAATATTAACAACACTAAACAACAGCCTGCTAGTAATAATTACCCCAAATTTCTAGATACGATTTTGTTGCAAAAAAAAGGTATTTCCGGGCAGATGGTTTGAATCCGAGATCACAGCGAGTAACTATTCTAAGAACGTTATCTCTCTGTACCCTCACGAGACTCTATTCAAATGAACCCCCTGAAACACTCCATTGCACGGTGTCCTTGCTAAGGGAGCCTTAGCCACGGTTGGTCCAGCACCCAACATCTCCTGTTCCTTTAAGACCCGTCGCCATCCAGTCCCGGGATCGATTCCCCTTTTTTTATTCCCCCCTATTTTACTCACAGGCGTTCGTGACGGCGAAACTGTTGCTAATGTCCACGTTCTCCGTCTGGGTGATGAGCTTGTACAAAGTGTCCGTGTTGTAGAACGATAATCCGAAACGGAAAGCGGAATATTCCTGGGATTGCTGTTTGGGGAAGAGAGCACCTGGGGGAAGGGGTGGGAGAGAGAGAGAGGAGACGGATTGGGAATTAATTGAGAAGGAATTTCAATCCACTGACCAGATGGCATCAGGACAAAAACACAGTACATTCAGGGCAAAATTCGGATTTGGCTGATAGAAAAAAATGAAAGCAACTTTTTCCTTTGCAAGAATGAATGAACATATGAAAGTGAGAAAATGCAGACACAGAAGTAACTCCTTACCGATTTGCAAGCTGCTGGGGAACGCTCCCAAAACACATCCCAACAATCCCGAGCACAGGATGGTGAGGATGGATTGCTGCATTTTGCCTTTTGCATCGGCGAGCTGGGCTTCACTCGTTCTCCCCGCCGTCTCTGCACTTACCCACTCCTTAACGCCGCTTTGGATAAAGGAGGATTTGCTTTGCTGCCAGCGCGTCCCCAGCGCGGAGCAGCCGCTCGCTCACACACACACACACACACACACATACAAACAGGCACAACGTCCCCAGCGCGGAGCTGCTTCACAAACAACGTCCCCAGCGCGGAGTCGGAACCCGAGCGTCCCCAGCGCGGAGGCAACAACCAATCTCCTCGCTCCGGGAGGTGGAGCAACAGGCAGCTTTTGTCCAACAGCAGCGCCAATCTCTGGCGGAGCGGTCCCAGCTCGGAGTGTCCCCAGCTCGGAGTGTCCCCAGCACGGAGTGGTCCTGTTTACTGTTGCAGCTTTTGACAGGCAAATCGCGATCAGGCGCTCTCGGCTGTGAGACATGTGCAGCATGACTTGATTATCAATTTACTCAGAGGAGGACCATTCCCTAGTGACTGTACAAATGGGGCTCCAGGGATTAATAAAAGTGGCTTTATTATTTATATATGTATATAAGAATCTTGTTCCGGCTAGCTACCATGATAGTGTGTGTATGTGTGTGTGTGTTATTGTGTGCAATGAGTTGAGACTGTAAAAAAAAAATCAGTGGAAGACTCGTTTCCCGTGGTTGTAAAACAATGATTCTTCCTACAACATGACTGAATGATGTAAGTGGGTGGCAGGGTTTGAAGATAGGCTAATGTAACCATGGAAACAGCGTGAAAACCCCCCTCTCATGTGGAGAGCTGGTTAGTGAATAAGAGCGAGAGAGCGGCGTGTTAAAATGCTGTTCATTCCGTCGGTCAATTCAAGAGGACGAGAGACAAAGGAGTGTGTGTGTGTGTGTGTGGGGTGGGAGATCACAATTCTCCACGTTCAGCCAGACTTGGACATTGATATTTATTTCGTAAAGCAGCAAACATAATGCTTCTTATCTGAAATAACATTGCTCAGTGAGATCTGGGGTGATGCGGAGGAGTGGAGGGAGGCAATCTACTTTCAAAGATCTCATCAATTTATACATTAGCATTAAAGAGCTAGAAGGGTTGCCATTACTTAAATCTTTTCCATTGAGATTCAGGGTGACTTCCTTCCATTTTGGAGTTTTGGAACCTGGGGTGACCAAACAGTCCAATTTTGGATCCTCACAACCAGCCCCAATTGGGATGTGTGCCTGAAGCAGAAAGATAAAAGGTTCTAGAATTTAGAAGCTGAAGCCACACAGGGAGCTCTTAGAGAGGTTATTCTGAGAGGAATTTTAAAAAGTCACTACCTTCTGTAATAAGAAGTCATATTGTGGAGCAAAGGGTTGTGACTGCTGGACAGGTGGCAATAATGAGCGACTCTTATGATCTAATCCATAAAATGAAACATTTTTCCCATGACCCTCATACATTCAAAAGAGACAGAAAATGGGGAGAGTGAAAAGAAGGCCAAGATAAGGAATGGATAGCTGGAATTGCTCCTCAGATCAGTAAGGTAAGTACTGAGGGCAGAGGTGACAAGTGGAAGCCAAGGTGTTTCCATGGTGACAAGTGTTCAGAATGCTGGAAGTTGAAAGTGGCTACCTATTGGACTTGTTGACTTGTAAGAATGAATCTGAAGAAGATACTCAGAAGGAAAAGGCCATAAATCAGACTGTAACTTTAATTATAACAAAGAGACTGGTGTTAGCCATTACTATGTTAGAGAATTACACAGGTTAAATGAGAAATATGAAGGGTTTTTATCTAAAGGGAAGATAACCCATTTTTCTTCAAAAGGAAGAATCAAAGCCCATAACTGTTCTAAGAGATAAAGGAGCTGCTAAAACTCTTTTGCTAGAAGAGGATTTAGTTTTCTGTCCAGAAAGTTCAATGAAAACTGAAGTGTTGGTAAAGGGGATAGGTGGAGAGTACATCTTGGTTCCATGGTACAAAGTGCAATTGGAGTGGTAGCTGGGATAGTTAAGAACTTACCTGTAGATGGAGTTATTTGGGGAAAAATCTGGCTAAGTGAAACTTACAGCTTCATCTATAAAATAGAAAGCCCAGCTCAGGCTAGAGAGATGAAACAGTTGCAGGAAAATGTTCTGAGTAATTTTAATTATGTGTGATGACAGAGCAATGACTAAACAAACACCATCGTCAGAGGTCACAGTGATACTGCAGGCAGACCCTATTTAAGAACGAGGATAGTGCAAAAAAGGCATATCTTCATTAATTGAGGCTGAGGAAGCAGATTCAGAGTTAAGTAAGCTAACACAGCAGCTTGTACTGAAGTGATGCTGAAGTGGTTCCAAGAGTGCTATTCTATCAAAAACAAAGTATTGATGAGGAAGTGGAGACATCTTCACAGACTTGTGGATGAGAAATGGACCATTTTTCAAATAGTAGCACCATCCAGATATCATAAGACAAAATTGCAAAGACCACCTCTAGTTCCTACATCAGGGCATATAGGAATTCGTAACATAAGCATCAACAAACAGGTATTTTACATGGTCAGGACATAATTTTAGCACAGCTCTGTAAAACATGTCATGCTTATCAGATGGTAGGAAAACCTCAAAAATGTAAACAGACTAGCACCTTTGATACCAACAGCAGCTTTTACAAAACCATTTAGGTGAATGGATTCTGACGGACTATTATCAAAAAGCAGGATATCAGTATATCCTCACAATTACGGACATGACACTCAATATCTAGAAAGTATGGCTCTAAGGACAATTACAGCTTAGGCAATCATGGAAAAGCATACACAATCTTTTATTCATTATGGATCTACCAGTTGAGGTACAGTCTGATCAGGGTTCTAATTTAATTTTGAGGAAATCACTAGCAATTTGAGAATAAACAAAGATGAAATCATCTACATATCATCTGCAAATGTAGCAAGCTTTGGAGAGGTATCACCAGACTCTCAAGTCCATGTTTAAGACATACTGTCACAACTACATAGGATTGGGACAAAGCATTAGATTTTTATTAGTTGCTACAGAGACTGCCCAAATTAACCTACTGGATTTGTCACATTTGAATAGTGGTAATGAGATTAGAGGTCTATCAAAAAAAAGATTAGGGAATGAGAAAGACACATTGTTTGTATTGTATTACATATCCATGCTTCTAGAAAAGTTTCACTGAAGCAGGTAGGGAACCACAGAAATATTTACATACAACACCGGCACAACGAAAGGATGAGCAGATAAACTTCCAGCAACTAGCGTGTTCAGGTGGGAGATTAAATATTTATATTGTTGTCTTTACAAGTTGAACATGTGAAGGTGAAATTCCATACAAAGTACAAAGATAGATACCCCTGATCGTAGAAAAAAGAATTGGTTATGTCACACAAGTATGCTGTAATGATATTATCATTAACTCTTCTTTTTTAAATACCTGAAGAAACTTTTCCAACCCGTTATATTTTTGGATAACTTTCTTTTGTGCTATAATTTTCTTTTAAAACTTCCTTTGCCCTGGAATATTCTACCCAGTCTAATGCCACTTTCTTACTCACTCTACATACCTTTCAATGCACCACTCAGTAAAAATCTACATTCCCTCTTCCTTACCATCTCCCTTCATCTCACACCCAGACTGATGCCACTCTCCAACCTACATTCATAAACTCCCATATCAACTCCAGTCTAATTTCGCTCTGCTGTTCACTCCATAAATTCTTTAAATCTTTCCCATTCCAATTCAACTAATCTGATCAAGACACATTAATATTTAAAATTTTTGCAAAGATTTGCAGATGATATGTAGATTACTTCAACTTTGTTTATTCTCAAATTGCTAATGGTTTCCTCAAAATTAAGTTAGAACCTTGATCAGACTGTACCTCAACTGATAGATCCATAATGAATAAAAGATGGTGTTCACTTTATCATGATTGTCTGAGCTTAATTGTCCTTAAAGGCATACCCTCTAGATATCGAGTTGTCATGTCCGTAATTGTGAGGAAATACTGATATCCTGCTTTTGATTTGGTAATAGTTGTGGATGAGGTTGTAGACATGCTTGCCGAGCTGGTGGGTTTGGTTGCAAACACTTCATCACCGTGCCTCCAGTGAAGCGTTGGTGATCTGTCCCGCTCGTTGTTTATATGCCTCGGTTTGCTGGGGTGGTTGGCATCACTTCCAGTTTCTCAGTGGTTTGTACACAGGGCCTAATTCAACATCAACAAACACATTAAATTAGACCCGGTGTACAAATCATTGACAAACAAAACCAGAAGTAATATCAACCACCCTAGCAAACCGAGGCATATAAAATAACAAGCGGGACAGAACACCGACGCTTCACCAGAGGTGCACTGACGATGTTCCCTAGCAGGGTGACGAAGCGTTTGCAACCAAACCCACCAGCTCAGTGAGCATGTCTACAATCTCACATTTTAATATTCCCCCAATTTCTGATCCAATATTTCAATTCACACCCATGCTCTTTAATACTCGATGTAGCCTATTCCTCCTTTCCTTGTCCCATTAATAGCACTCATAATTTAATCCCATCCTGTATCCCCATATAGTTTTATCTCTCTTCTAATTTAATCCACATTCCCTTTCACACCCCATTACTTTTCATATTGTGATGTAAGGTATGTGATTATCATATATGTTGATATCATTATTTTAGAGTTTGGATATAAGCTGGTTTCATTTCAGTTTTGGTCTGTGCATTTGAAGGGGTTTAACGATTAACTTGTGGGTATTTCTGTAGCCAGAGTGCTTTATTTAAAAAAGAAGTCTGAGAGAGAGTGAGTTCTTGGAGACTAATGGATATTTGCTCGTTGTTCACTCATGAAAAAAAATCTCCCAAAGTAAACATTGTAATGCATTAGGCTTTCAGTTTAGAAGCTTGAACAGTTTTTAAGTTTCAGTTAGGCAATTTGTATTAGTTTGGCAGAAATTAGATGTGTAAAATAATTGCTCCTAAAGTGTAAGGAGTTTAGTTTTAAAGTTA